ACATTGTCCTCACCCTTGAGTGCCGTTGCAAGGATTTTTCTCGGTCGCCCACGACTCAGCGAGATATCATCTGCGAAGGAAAATATGATGAAACGAATGTGTGCTGATGGATATCGGATTAAAGCCAGATCCTCTGGATGCGCCGCATGCGTATTCTCCGTCGCCTGCTCGTCCGCTACCGTGCCTCCGGCAAGATCGACAAGCACCTGTACCACGAGCTCTACCACCTGAGCAAGGGTAACACCTTCAAGCACAAGCGTTCCCTTATCGAGCACGTAAGTTTCGCCGCCATGTTGTTCTTTCGATATACCCTGGATACTATGAGACGGAACGGGTTTATACGATTATCTTATTTGGACGATGAGGGAATAGGGGCTAACATGATCTCTTTCCCTACTACAGATCCAGAAGGCCAAGGCTGAGCGTCACCGTGAGCGCGTCCTCAAGGAGGAGATGGATGCTAAGCGTGCCAAGAACAAGGCTCTCCGTGAGAGACGTCTGGAGCGCAAGGAGGCCAAGCAGAACGCCCTCGTTGCTGAGGCTCAGGAGTAAATCCTCTCAGATAACGAACTTGGGCGGTGCGGAGGTTGAAACGCGGGAGGGAATCGATCAGCCCACGGACTTTGATCGACCACTCCGTGTTCGTTGCAGGTCTGGCTCGGTGGCTCGATGCATCCGGGACGGGGTTGTTTGGATCGTATCGGGAGCCTGGAACAGGGTTGGGGATCAAGGATATGCACCATCATCACCATCATCGTCATCCCCGTCTCTTCCTCTTCACGGGGAAGAGCATGTGAAAGGACCACGCAAAAAAAAGGAAAAAGACCTAACTGTTAAAGCAAAACAATGGCATGGCGCTTTGTGTGATGCGAAATTTCCAATTTTTTTTTACTATTTCTTCCATCCTTTTCGCCAACTTTTCTTCTTCCTTTCCTGGACCGTGCAACAAAAAAAAAAGCATTCGCCCTTGCACTGCTTGCTTGCTATCCGATATCAAATCCAGCCCAACTCCCGCCCGGATATAATCTGTCCCTCTTGCTGCTTTTCTCCCAAAGCACCCGCTGCTTCTTCTTCTTTCCTCTATTCTTTACCTCTGCACTGAACATGTAATGTCGTAACGCACATCCTGAATATCATTCCGAGGGTTAACACACAACGTTTGTTCCTTGTAATGGTCTAGAACGTATATCTCTTGTAGTTTCTGCAACCTACCTAAACTATTGAAATTGCAGTTCACAAACCCCCTCCTCCCTCTTCTCCTTCAATTACGTCAAAACCAGCCCGCCCCTCATATTTGTTCAGCCTGGAATGGATTAAGTCCATCATCCCCGCTTTCTTGACTTTCAGTAAATCTAGTCATAGAATGTGCTATTACCTCTTATCTCTTCCTTTTGTCTTCTCTCTGGAAAAATCATAATTCTGATCACAGTATATAACTAGACTTTAGTTGCATGCACTCTTCTATTCTATTCTCATTTTTTTATCGCTTATAGTATATCAGCTGTCGAATCTGCCTGCGTTGGTCTGTGTGTAGATTTCTCTCCTCCTCTCCTCCCCGCCACTACGTAATCGTGGCTCTTCGTAGTTCCCGTCAAGGTTATACTTGGAAAGATTTCAGAATTTCTATACCATGTTACAAGATGTTATATATTTCAGTAATCTTATAGCGATAGTAAGGTATATTGTTTCCTAGTTAGTTAGCAGTAGGCTGCTACGTTTTATTACTTATTAGTAGATTTTAGAATTAGGCGGTTGTGGTGGGGATTCGCGGGGATGCTAAGTAGTAGCCTTACGGAAGCAGAGAATAAGAATATATATCCAGGTACTAAGTAAGTACCACACCACCACCAACATCACCAAATTAAGTATTAGTAGTTGTTGAAACGGATGAAGCATACTAGTAAGTAGTACTATAGAATTAATACAGAGAAGATAATCTGAGAAATAGTCCTTTCAAATCAGAAATTCATTGGATGTTGTATTCGCACACGACAATTGCACATGTAATTATCGTACACATACAAATACAGCTGTGACAGCATGGCACCCTTACTTACTCTTACCCTTCGCTACCTACTACCTGTGTGCCATGTCGGATAACAACTAAAACCAATCATAAGATAAAATACATATACAGTTATCTTGAAGTGAAATCCGCTTTCTCTTTTTGCATCCCCCGTTCAACGACCCAGACGGGAATACCATATGCTTAATTGCAGATGATAGCGTGGACTCATGTCGCATATCTCGTGTGCTTCCTCATGCCCAACACTACGTGCGGGCAGTGAAGCTCTATCTTCTTCCTCGTCAGCCGTAAGTTAGACGTGCCCTATGGGTATGACGGTAGAACTACGCCTATGCATAGCGTGGGGTGGACATTCCAGATCAAAAGGATCACTGCGCGTGCTTAACCTGGCCATGGGCTCACATGCTTCGAGCTCGGCCGCGGTGAACGGGTAGCTGAGTCGTTGCAGGCTGCTACCCGCGCTGCTCCGTCCAGGTAGGTGGACTGTACTGCCTAAGCTGCGATCACTGTGCAGGGAATACCAGGCAGTTGACGTGGGTCGCTGCGACATGTACGATTGCCGCATGACCACAGTGTGGCTTGGAGCTGCATCGGCGAACGGGTTGCGAAGCGTCCCCGCGTTGCTGGGCACGCCGCTACCACGCGACACATACTTGATCTCCGCAGAGTCTAGGAAAGGGTTTGCGTCGGAGAGGAGGTTCGGACCGGAAGGGGTCCGACGCGCTTGGTAGCTCTTGGCAGGAAATGATACTGGGAACATAGCGCGCAGAGGGCTGGAGGGGGTAGAGGAGTGGTCGGTGAAAGATGACCCGCACGACTGATATACTTGATGTGAGCCTGCTGAGGAAGCAGCCGGACTGCGGTCATCTTGCAGGTGTTCCTCACTCGTGCCAGTGGCCAGCTCGTCACGGGGCTTGCGCCGCTTGTGACGCATCACGAAATAACCTATTGCAAGCGCAAGAGCAACAAAAGCTACGCCTCCTAGAACGCCCCCCAAGATTGCGCCCAGTGAGGCGTGAGAGCCACCATGATCCGATTGATCTATGTAGCCATGCGACGAGCCATTGGCTGAAGTGACAACGCTAGTTACTGCTGAGTGTGGAGTAAATGAGGTAGAGGTGGTGTGGGGGTACTGTGTCGTTGACATCGTTGATGTTATGGAGCTTAGCACAGAGGTGGATGATTTTGATGTCGGCTGCTGTGTTTGATGGCTTGATAATGAACTTGTCTGCGCCGATACCGGCATATGAAAATGAGTGCCATCCTCCGTACGTGTTTGTATGAGATTGTAGTCGCTAGGATCTGCTAGGGTCGCAGATGCAGTTGTCGTAGGCTCGACCACCGACTCAACAACCGATGATTGTAACGACTGCGTAGTCGTGGCATCTGTAAGAACTGCTGAAGCTGCAGCTATTGAGTGCCATGTATTAGACGGAGAGGGCTCGATGGACAATGAGCTTTCGGTCGTTGACGTGGGGACCGAATTCGTGAATGAGGGAGAGGACGCGGCTGAGGTGAAGGAAGAACTGATGATTACCGGCGCCGAAGACACAAATATATTGGAGTGTCGAGGAATTTTAGTTGCACATCTCGAACTCTGATGGAGAACCGCAGAGCTCGACCTGGACATGTCGCCAAGCCCGCAGGCCGGAGGACGCAAGAAGTACTTTGCTGGATCAAGGAGGGGAAGAAGAGAAGAACGTGGCCTGCATGAAGAACCAGGTATGATAATAAAGTGCAAAAAAAGAGGGAATCCCTGGATTTGAGGCTGCTGGCGCGTAAACGAGCGCGGGAGGCCGCGGCAATGATAGCAGCAGCAGCAGTAGTACTTGATGTTGTAGTAGTAGTAGTGAATGACCGGCTCACGAAGGTATGGAAAGAGTGAACAAACGGAAGCCGTGGATACAGTCGGAGAAAGCAAATACACACATGCTAAGCCCGACTCATTGCTGATTTTCTCTACCGGGAGGAGACGGGCAGGCCATGACAGCAGATGTCAGAGGCAATAGCCTGGAGGTGGTGCACCCGTTTCAGGATAGGCTGGTGAGGCGGGAGGGCCAAAAACGCGTGAGATTTCGATCACACGTGAAGAAAGAAGAGAGATTCAGATATATTGAAGAGGCTATGGTAAAAGAGAGAGGCTGTGAAGGAGCAGGGATGAGAGCGAGAAGAGAAGAGGACCAGGGACCCTGGAAACAAACAAAAAGAAGAATCGCATTGTGTTTGGCCAAGCGCCATGTACAGGTGAACCAACAAACCGGCTGTGACGACAGGAAGCAGGGGGGTTTGAAAGAGATTGCTGCCCTTGAGGAAGTGGATGAAACCGCAGTCATCCAAGACATCCAATCCGCGATGCAGCGGCAGCTCTGACGAAGGTGCTGGGCGGCATTAGTCGCTGGCCAGAGAGGGGGGTTTAGGCCCCTCGCCCCTAGCGTTATGTTAACTAACGGCCCTTTGGGGGGGTGGTCAGGAACCACCAGACGTTGGAACGGGTCTCATTGGATTATGGAAGGGGGTGGGGAGGGGGATAAGCCTGGAGAACCAAAGTCAGTCACAACATGGAACATCGAATGGATTCATCTATCCGATGGAGCTGAACCGTGGAGGAAGGGAAAGATGGGATAGATGGATAGATGAGTAGTAGATAGATGGGAGAGGGAGAAGATGGAGATGGAGATGGACGAATTGATTGGCGCAATTGCCCTGATTGGTTTAATTAAGTAATTGTGAGGAAAATGTGATTGGCAGATATTCATTGGCTGATGGGGACCATCAAGTGGGGGCCCCGTGACTGAGTTACTCTTTTGGGACATCCCAGTCAGCCACCGCTAATTCACTTCCACATTAGTGCCATCATGTGCAGGCTGAGTCAGGATGATCTAGCCTGATTGGGACAGTTCCCATCTTTCGGACGAAGAATTGACCAGTTGGTCTGGGTTTGGACGATTTGACATTTGACAGCAATAGTGGCATCTACGGGGTGCAAATCAGACTTAGACTCAATTCTCTGTGATTTTGAATATCACTGGATCACCCACGAGGTGCCCTGGAATAATGTATACGTATGTATGCATGATGATATATCCCCGGATAAGGACGGAGTGCACCTGTGCAATAGTCAGAAGACGAGAGAGAGAGAGAGAGAAAAGCATTGCCACCGCGGGACTTGTGATCTCCATCTTCCCTTCCAGGGATCACGTCTACTACGGTGTACACAAGTCCCCTCCTTCACCCAGAATTTGGGGGGCACGTATTGGTCGAAACGCCATCAGAAAAAGGGTGGATCGGAAGTCAATTGACATCACAGCCAGAGAGAATGTTCCGTTCTTTCGCAAGAGCCCAAGAATGGGAAAGGCGCTGGGCAGCCAGCCCATGGTTATCCCCATACTTTCTCCTTCCCCCGCAATATTGGGCCCGGGGAAATTTGCCAGGTACCCTTCACGGATGGGTAATAAATTGGGTCCCAGAGGCAAAATTGTTAAGAGGAATCCCGGAAGTGTGAAATGGATGGATGGTATTAGAGGAGAGAGGAGAGAGAAAAGGGAATGGAGTGAATGGGTCCAACTCCACTTGGAGGGGAAGGAGAATGATGGATTCCAATGAAGCTCGGGAGTGTCAAGGACTAACGAGGAACGAAGAGAGGCTAAGGCAAACTTGAAGGCGACTAAACCATTTGACCATTTGACCTTCTTTCTTCACTGCTCACTACTAGACCTACGTACTTACTTGCTATCTTATTTTCTATTTCAATGCATGCACTTCCCCTCTCTCTCTTCCTCTCTCTCTCCACTGCCACCATCATCGCCTTTATCCAACAATCATCCATCCAACAATTTCCAACTCAGCCACTAACTAACTACTACGTTAACCAAGTTTCCCCATTCTTCCCGCTGACTGGTTCATCTACTTCCCACTACTTTTCCACGACTTGATTTCCGCCCTCTTATTTGTCTTTCCTCCGTGTGCCTCGTGCTTCTTTTCATTCCTCCCCCACTGCCGGTTAGCCTCACATCGCAAAGTGATGAACCAAACCGACTCAGCTTCTGTCTAGTGCTGAGAATCTCGCATCGCATCCACATCGCATCCTTTCTGGACTGTTGATTCGATTCGATTCGATTTTGGCGCATAGAGTACTAGAGAACGATCACAAACCCAAACCATCACTTGGTTCCCGTTCCGCTTTTCCGCAATCTAATTAATTACGGCATCATGTTTGGCTGGTGTAGTACCTTGGGTAAGCTTCTTCCCTCCCGCTCGGTCGTCAATCGCCTTCCCCTTGCTTTCTTTAGACTCGTCTCGTCTTTGGTGCGCTCCCTTCTGCTTTCTGCTTCCCATGAGTCGTGCCGAATTGGCGTGGGCCCATCAGAAAGTGGTCAGAGTGGTGTGATGATGGAGAGACCCGGTCGCTGAGCCGGTCGCGCCTTGTCCCATCGTCTCCAGCTGCTTCTAACTGAATGGCCCCCAACCCTCTAGGCCTGCTGTCAGCCAGGTTGACTGAGAGTCCAATCCCTAATACTGACACGCGATGCAGGCCTACCCTCCGTGAGCTCAGAGCCGGAGAAAGAGCGCCGTCCTCCTCCCGCCCCCACACCCCTTGACTTCCCCGTCTACAACCTGCCGGAACTTTCGGATAAGGACCCGGACGCTACTCTGTCGAGACTGAGTGAAGTGCTGGCATCAATCCGACGGCCACAGGATATCAACCCGCAGAAATTCGAGGCGCTTAATCTGAGACTAGAAGAGAATGTGTCCGCAGCAGATATCGTTCGTCCGAGCGGGTCAAACACGGCTCCTCCGCTCCCTTGGGATAACTCGTTAGCCCGCTCGTCCCCGGTGGATGAGGATGGCTGTCCCATCCTGATGGACAATGGCAATTCCTATCCCTCCCGAGACCGATTCGAGGCGTTGCAGAACGAGCTCCTCCTGGATAACGATGACGCTTTCAGAGAGGTGGGCAGACTGCCGCCCCGCGAGGGCCGTCAAAGGGTGCGTGTGGCTCAAACGAGGAAGTTCTGGACCGGCCTGGAACGGATGGCTCAATACTGGGACACCAGTTTGGACGAGTATTACGAGCGCCCGAAAACGCCGCCCCCACCGGCAGGGCAGGAGGGTGCAGACAAAATGCAGACGGATGGGGATGCCCAACTGCCAGCGGCGCAAGACCATACGGAAACGCCCATGGACGTGGACCCAGCGCCGCCTGCAGAACCGACAAAAGACGGTTCTCAGGCGCAGCCAGAGACACAGCAGGAAATGGTTACTATGTACAAGGGTCGCCGTCTTGGTGCCGGACAGGAGATGCCCGAGGATGTACGTGAGGAGACCGTTCGAGCGCTGGCCGAAATGGCTGCTTGGCCCTTTGGCTGCCAGGCGGCCCCTCCTATCTCCCCACCTCGGCTGGCTGTAAAGACTTTGCTCTTTCCTGTTCGACACACCTTCCAAACCGCACGATCGCCAAAGGACCGTCAACTGGCGCGAAGCGGTATCATGGAGGGGCCTATCTTTGCAGCGCAGTGCCGACCTGAGACCTCATGGCGCGGGCCACATGATGCCCCAGGCTCTGGCATGGGAGAGGTGTGTGATTTGCTTCGGGAGGTGGGTGCCATGCTCCTGACAGCTCAGGAACGGGCGAGACAGGGGGAAGCAGAGGTGAGACCAGGTGAAGGCAAGTGGTGGACAACCGTGCCCCGATGGGGCGGCGCTCCCAACGACTCCGTCAGTGACAATGAGAAGGAGACCCATGGGGAGGACAAGCTGCCATCCGAGTCGGGATATGCTCGCAAGCGCTCCAAGTACGAGCACCCGTTCCTCGCATCGCGTCGACCGAGCTCTGCGCGAAAAATGAGCAACAGCGACAGGTGGAAGATCATCCAGCCCGGACCCGGTCTTTGGGACAAGCGGATGCGGTATATACAGATTGGGAAGCCGCTTGACAGTGCATTTGACGATGTAAGTGGCCTGCTCCGATCATCTCACTTCGTCTAGGTTACATGGATAGGACTAACTGAAACGGCAGATCTACCTATTGTCCTCCATCAATCATCATGTGTCGATCCTTCATCTGCGCGTACACCGACGATATCTCGAAGTCATCACCAATGGGTCCAGCAACTTCCCGCCTGTAACCGACACGCCGGAGCAACCGTGGCATGTTCTACAGCTACGACGCACCCGGTGGTACGACCTGTTCAACGGCGAAGACCGTGTGGAAGCGCTGAAGGGCATTTGGCGCATCTTCCACTACCTCCTTCGACAGCAACCGGAGACTCAGTTTCTAAACTGAGGCTGGGTTGATGTTAGTATTTGACTTTTGTTTCATATACCACTTTGTTTGCATTTGATATTAGACGACCAGAACCAGTGTCTACATTGCATGGCATGATCAGAGTGTATTATGACGGCTTGATGTATTGGCTATGATATTCAGTTGGCATTTGCTTTGGGTTTCAGCGGCTGAATCATGTTCCTGTCCTAGATTGACTAGACGACTGAAAGACTGCTCCACAATAGAAATGCATGATGTTGCACAAGACCTGAAGGGGAAATGCGCTCTATTTTAGGTAAAACGACGCATATTCTGTCGGTAACCGCGCCGTCAGTCTCTCAGCAGTATGAGTGAGATGCCATTGTAACCATGTCACCTTCTAACAATAACAACACCATACCCGACGATCCACAACAAACCAAAACAAATTCAAATCATCTCCACACGAACAGTCATGAGTTATTTGACATGCATCTCACAGACAGACAGACAAACAGACACCTCTCCCCACTCCACCTGTACCTGTCTACCTATGACACGCATCTCCCTCCCTCCTTTCCTCGCAGTAGCATGAGCATTAGCAGTAGCAGTAGCACCACACCAACCAAGCAAGCAGATAGACAAGTGTAGCTGAAACGGAGAAAAAGAATCGGATCATCACATACCTACTTTTAGTAAGAGTCCATTTCCAACCAGACCAGAAGAACCAGCACCAGCATCAGCACCAGCACCAGCACCACTTTTCCTTTTCTTAGTGTTCTTTCTTCCCCAATCGCAAATCAAATCCAACGCATCTGACACGTACGTGCTAGTCAGTCTCATACTCGATGTAGCTTAGCTATCTTAGTTTCTTACATATGGGTACATAAGTCCGAGTAGGCCCATACCTACTAACTTCTATTTCAGCTCGGAATTGTACTTCCATGGCCCATTTTTTTCTTCTTATTGCATTATCATTTAGAGGGAATTAATGAAGTGAGGCGAGAATTATTAACCACTACTACTTAGTACATACTATGTGATTGTACTCCAGAGGAGGATTTCATCCTATGGATTAGTTATGGTGGCGATGATTAATGTCAGCGGACATACTATAATAATTTGATTTCAATATACTTACTGTCCCTAATTTGATATTATCCCTACTGTACATACTGTATAGATAATCAATTATAATTACTGTAAGGAAGTAGTAAGTCATATCCCTCGGATCCTATTTCCCATCCCTAATGCCGAATTGCAGCATCACTAAGCAAGCATGAAAGCTCAGGCCCCTTCTTCGATCCCTTCCCTTCCCCCCCAAATGACCTGACCCTCCCGTCCTTCTTCTTACCTACTTAGTTCTAAACCCTCGATCACAGTGATCGGAAGAACCTGATTGGCTTATCTGTGATTTTGTCTTTGACATATATCGCAGTTTTCATGCCCCATCTACACCATACTTAGCAATTTAATTGGCAATAGAAAGTTTTTCAACACATATAGAATATCGGTTAGATGTAGATTGGATCTTTTTGGGTTTTTTGTTGGGCGAATAGAAAAGGTAATTATAGATGTGTGGATTTGATGAGTTCGATTTGATTCTATTTCTACTACTCGTGTTGTTGTTGGGATTATGTTGCTGAGGAGGGATGCTGCTGGGGTGGTGATTCGTAGGTACAAGGTGTGTGTGTGTGTGTGTGTGTGCTACCTCATGTAGAAGTTGTCTAGTCTAGGTACTCCGCAGTAAAAAGACATACTAGACATCTCCACCCACAGAGTAAAACCATACCCCAACTCAGTACTTCGTACTAACTAAGTAACTACTACTAGTACCCATCCAGCAAACAATATCCATCCACAATCCACAATCCACAATCCACGAATACAAATGGTCCGCAAAGCAAAGCAGGCAAAAGGCAAACGAAACGACAGAAACCTAAAACCTTAAACTATATACATATGTACAAATCTAGACCCCCAATTTCCATTGAATATCCCCCCCTTCAGCCCAGGGAACTAAGCCCATCACTTACTCTTACAGTCGTCTATCATCAACTAATCCTTCCCATACCATTTTATCCATCCACACATCCACCTATTCAATCAGCCGACCAACCAGAAATCTCCGCATAGTGAGGCTCGATTTGAAAAGCAGTTTTTTCATTTCCTCTCTCGGTTAGAAAGGCTAGTCCAGGATGGTAGGGGGGTTGGGTTATTTTAGTCTGTCTGTGTATTGGTGTGGGTGTGTGTGTATGTAATGGGGTATGCAAAAATGAAACTGGGTGGGTACTTAGTATTTGATGTTGATGTTGGTATTGGATTTGATTTGATTTGATTTGATTGGGGTTTCAGGTCTATGGGGAATGATGTTGGTGGTTGTGAGTGATAGTCGGATTCTTTCTCCGATGAGAGATAACTTATTTTCTATACTGTGTGTGATTCACATCTGGGTATTTGGGTTAATAAGTAGTTGGGTTTCTCTGTGTAAATGTGATATCTATGCTCGTGTGCTCTGTTTATGATGTTTTTTCTACAGTTTACAGGTAATGTTATAATATGTGGTAAGCATCAATGTTATCAAGATAGCATTGCATGGATTCACATCCTAGACAATACACGAAAACTAACTAGTTAGTCAGTTGAAGTGTGCGTGGCATGACACATACACACACACACACACACACACACGGGTACGGTTTAGCCCTTAGCTTCACTTCACTTCAACTATCCAAAGGATCATTCCAGGTCGTCTCTAAAGCTGAATCTTGTCTAGCCCCAGACACATGGTTGCTGATCAGGGGGTTGATGGAGGGGGGGAAGGGGGGAAGCGGATACGACACACAGGGCAAGAGCGTACTTTTGAGTCTGACACCTACCACCCTACCCAAGTTAAGTAAATGGTGCCTTCCCCCCCGGGATGGACAGTAGTGTGCAAGGCGGGAGAAATACGAAGCACTCTTTTTACCAATGAGAGTGGATGGAAAGGTACCTTTGAATTGACTGACTGACTGACTGTCACCTTCCTACTTCTTCTTAGTAGGCTGCTATCTAGTTAGTTTTACCTGGGGGCTGTTTGGGTCAGCCCCTGAATTTCTTTTTTAATCTCCAGATAGGCCCGACGGACATGGCATGGGCCGTGATGGCTACCTAACTAATGTATCTATATTAATCCTTTCTGCCTTCGTGCGGGACTAGACCGGGGTGGGTAGTAGTTGGGACCCGTCAAAGGTCTCACTTACTCTCTCGATCGCTCCCTCATTATTCGAGTCCATTAGTCTGATCATGTGTGCATCGTGGGTAGTAGTCTAGCTGTGTGTACGTGGTATAGACTAGGTGCTTCCCGTTAGCCATTTTTCTTTTCCCTGGTTGGTATCGAGTCAGACAGCGGGATCTAGAAACTCGGATCGTCCTGTCGTCCGGGGGTCGCGCTTTGTCCAGATGCTGATCCTCGCAAATTGACATCTCCGCCATGCGTCGTGGCCATTGGTTGCCCCCCATCCTGGGCACGGTGAGCATTGGAGATGCGATGGCTTGCTTTATCTCGTTTGCTTCCCAAGGCAGACTTCCTTTTCCAGCCCGTTGCTGCCGTCAAAGAAATCACGGAAAAGAGACGGAAAAAGAAAAGGAAAGAAAGAAAGAAAGACTCCAACTGCCACCTACTAGTGAGTATGTGAGTATGGATAGCGTCGTTACTCCAAAACGTCACATGCGCAGTCTTTGCGATCGCAACCTGAGCGACGGCAATAATGATAATCGGGACGGCCATTGCGGGACTGCAACGATGCCAGTGCATATGACATGAGTCTTCATCATTGATCATTGTCCTCAACAATCGCATGTATATGCGCATGTACGTCAGAACGGACTACTCCGTTCACATACATAGAATGTAGGTACGATCTTCTCCACTCCCTTCCTTGTTAGCAATCGCGCGCCGTGCCGGACTTGCTCGGCGCGACGCGCTGTGATCGCAAAAAAGGAGGTTGTGGAGGTTCCAGACCGGTGGGAATGTGATGAGTCCAGTGGCGGCTAGGGTGGGAAAAAGTAAAAAAAAATGGCAGACTGGGAAAAAGAAAACCGCGCGCGCTTCGGTTGACTTGCATTGGTAGGCCGTCGTCGCGTGCTAAATCCTAGCACCAATTTGACACCTGTAGCGATCGACTCTGTTGTGCGCGCCCATGTCAGTCGAAGCCATGTCCACGGAGAAAGGTTGGTGACAGGTGCTTGATGGCGTTGCAAAGGTGAGAAACCCATCCAATGGGTTCGGGTGTTTCTCCGGCAGTTTCCAGATTGCGACGGGGACATCCCCCGCAAAAGAGCTGCTGCTGTCATACCCTCTCGACACCCGTCTGTGGAAACATGTCAAACAGCTTCCCGAACGCGGCCCGTCCAGCAGCAAAAATGGTCTTTCGTATTACTCGTGAGGCTGACTGGAGGATAGTCACCGAAAAGGCTGGGCGAAACCGTCCTACCGTTTACACACAGACCACGGATTGACACTATTGGTGCCCGAATGGTGAATGGTCACTTGCCCAAATGTCTGTCTGTGTGCATGTGTTAGGGATTTGCAGTCTAGTCGATATGGAGTAACCTGTTCCAACCGAGTAGCTCTGTGTAGTGGGTGTGTAGTAGTAGTCTGGAGGTGGCGGGAAATCAAGGAACTGAAGCAGTTCTGATGTGAGGACAGCTCTCCTCGCTTTGCCTCCAAGGGAGATTGCTCAGTGCACTTTTCTTTGTGGACGACCTAGAGGGCACCACGATGTCTTTGTTTTGGGCCTGGGATTTAGAGCGAGTTAGCACCTCCTGAGCAGGGAGTAGGGAGCAGGAATGACTACTTACCCACTAGTAATGAGCAGGTAAGCTCATCGGCAGAACCGGGCACGCCGGGAACTCTCCACTCGAGCAGCAGGGAAAAGTAATCACTAAAGGGAAAATCAAAATAAGGAAAAACCTGCACATCCCCTTTTGGTTAGCGTCATATGCAGGCATTCCCTCAGCAGATTTCTTACCTGCAGAAATGGATATCGTATGGATCACTACAGGAGATAGATACTAGCCAGTATCTAATCAGGTAGTAGTACTGTAGTAAGAGGTTAAGAAGTTGATAGTGGAACTCTGTCATTAGAAATAATCATTCCTTTCAAATATATCCGGATCATATTCGACCTTCCCATCTTTCATACAACACTCTCAGATTGACCTCGTGTAAGACGTGGTATTCTTGGGCGTCACGTAATCCTAGCTAGGGATTGATTACCACATTAAAAAAGAAGTTATGATACCAGCTGGCTGGCAAGACACATTATTGAGACCGTCGCTGTGGCACCGAACTCGTAGTACGACTCATCCCTATTACTGCACGAAATGGGTGCACTGCGCATGCACGCAGTAAGATTTGAAGATCGGTTCCTGGATTCCTCACTGCGCAAGTGACTACCTCTATCCCTCCATAGGTAGGTAGAGCGCTCTCTACTTTAACCCCCTCGCTTACCCCGATTCGAGCGATCGTTTAGTCTTGTAGTACAGTAGCTCGACCGATCGTCCCTCGATAAGGTTGGTATGTTAGAGGGTTAGTCGAAAAGCCTGGGGTTCGGAGTCTGGAGTACGGAGCAGCATGAGACAAATCGCAAATCGCATAAAGGAGGGGGCAAAAGATATGGGACAGGTCATTATGTGGTCGGGAGAAGGATCATTTTGCCACTCGATTGCTCTCACAGCGGAATTTGGAGTGGGTTACATCCTCCTACTACTTTTACTAGTTTACTACCGATAGGGAGGGAAGCTTCCCAGGAGGCGAGGCCCACGTGGTCCATTGTGTACAGTTTACGTTAAGCTGTTCATTCTTCGTAGGAACTGGGTTGATATACTGCTGGGTAGTTGGCTAAGAGGGAAAGGCATATATCTGATATGTAGTGATTAGTATGCATGTCGACAACAATTAATACTCGCAATACTTCTATCGAGTATTTAATCCCCAAACCAACACTCACCCACGCAAAGCTGCAATTCTCAAACTTCCTTTCTCTCTTAAGTCCTGCGATGAGATTGATACGATAAGCAGCCTCATTGCGACACGCCGTAGACGAATGGATCAGCGCAATAACGAGGCTTTAGCTTCCCTTAGACTAGACAATCTCAAATAATTCTCCCTTGGATCGGCATAGCATCCATATCCACTATAATGCCCTCCAAAGGAAGAGCACTGCCACATCCAGTAGTCATCTCCGTGAGCCATTCCCCAGCTCGACAGACTAGAGACGCTGATTTGGTTTTTCTTCATGGAGTCCTTGAGATATGGCTTGGCTGCCTTCCAGATGACATATGAAAATCCATATTCGATGATCGAAGCATGTTGATCAAATTGATATCGCGCGGTTGCGACATACTCCACTACCACCATTACCATCATCTCCTCCTCCACCTCCACCTCCTCTACGGTAGCCACTCTTTCAGATGGATAGTGTTTTAAGAACTTTAACAACCAATATAACGCCAAGGAATCCCAGCCTCACTTTTTTTCATTATTCTTCATCTTGCGATCCTACCGCCCAGTAGAATTATGATCCGCTCCGAACCACCCTCTCGGAGTCACAAGGCGGGCAGTCCCGCTGTCACCTTCTTATTCTCAGAACGAGAATTGGTGGGTGTGTATGTGTGTATGTGTATGTGTATGTGTATGTGTATGTAAGTATGTCCTGGACAACTGAGGGGTTAGACTCCCCATCGATTGATTCCCCCGTATACGGGCGATAAGTTCACATAGTAAGTAGTTATCGGACGGTCTGACCAGGCCGGCCCAAACTCCTTCCCTTCCCCCCTCCCCCCATAAGGCATTTGGGTTGGCACATCTCATGACCTTGCGAGAAAAGAGTCAGGAGTCAGGATACCTAGCCAGTCTAGTGAGGGGTAGGGGGAGCTTGATGGTCCTTGCTGGGACAAATGATAGGCCTGAGACATGGAATTGATCTGCAATTTGGGTCCGGCGAAGATTTACCTGTAATCGGTCTAAAGAATGGCGCCCGGACCTCGTGATGACCGCATCCCATTCCAACTTTCTATTTGCTGGTCGCCTTTTCCACACACACGCACACACAGACACACACATAATCCTCAAAGTCTGAGTGGGTTAAGGGTAGGTAGGTAGCTACATACTTACTAGCTAGCTAGCTGCTAGCTAGGCAGAATCTTCAGCCAACGCCAACTTGCCTGCCTTCCGACCACCGCGGACGGTACGGAGAACCCCGTCCTGGCATGTGTTTGCATAAGTTAGGTGGTAAGTAGTAGGTAGACCCGGAGTTTCGGCAGCTAAATTTACTACGTACTGTATATGGTGCTTGCGCCGCCGGAGTTTTCTGCTGTCAAGGAAATCCCGCGGGTTACAGACGAGGTTGCGTTTGTGTTGGGGATCGGACTCTCCTTGTGTTGCTTGCTGTTGGGTACGTAGGCTTCCAGATTATTTTTTATTCTATTATTTTCTTCGATTAGATGGGTCCCCAAGTCAGACGAATGAATACTTTGTAAAATAGGTCTGGCAAATTCCAATCTTGAGATGGCGCTTACTACTTACCTATCTACTTACCTGTTTGCTACTAGTACTAGTAGGTTGTTCGCAGAACAAATCCCGGGGATTCATATCAGGTTAGCACAACAGCAGCATCAGTCATGGGCGCTACTGCTAGCACCAGGATCTTTCTTTTACTTCCACCTATGGTGTATTCGCCCCCTCTGCCCCCCCAATTCGATGGCCAATTCCCAATAGCCACAGTGTGTCTCTACCCGTGTAACCCCAGTACAAAACGTCGAGCTATCTGTACATAAAGGACAGGGCTATCCCTTGCTTCCGGCACCTGATCATTCCAATACTAGTTTGAGAGTGAGAGAGAGAGTCAGAGAGTAGGCCTCCTCCTTCTCCTCTCCTCCTCTCCGGCCCTACTTGCCGCATAGGTGTAGTACCGGCGCACAGTATGCACATCATTTGCTACTAACTTTGCCAGTCGACCCAGCCTTGCAGGATCTCCATTCATTAGGGAAAACCTGAACGGAAAGAAATCGTGCGATTCCAGTCTTACAGTAATCCATGCATACGATGAGTCGGTAGTGAATTGGTGGGTTTGTTAAGTATGGTTAGAGTTAGTTCTTCTTACTGTAGGGAGAATGGAGCCTGGCGCCATCGCCCTTTCTTTTTTCTTTTTTTTTTCTTTTTTTTCTTTTTTTTCTTTTTTATTTTTTTGCCTCTTGTCTTAAGAACTGTTGAAGTCTCAAAGACAGACCCAACATGCCGCCAGCCGATGGTGGGTTCCAGGAGACGGGATCATGGAACGTCACTAAAAAGGCGGATCGACCGAATGGGGGGACAAGCTGTTGAATTCGTTGGCTCTCGGAAGCCAGAAATGGGTCACCTGTGGAGGGGCAGGCAATTGGCGGTAATGAATAAGGCATGGCTTGACTCCGATTTTGAACTTTGTAAGGTACGGAAGATTCCGTATCTGAGTGCGAGACGGTGAACATCGGGTGTAAATCTGGAGGTGGTTTTTTTTGTTATGGTTGGGTGCTGTTGGGTCATCGCGTCAGTTAGGTTTTTGTTTATGCTTTGATGTGAACAAAGACGCGGAGGACATGGTCTTCTGCGGTAACAAGTTTGAGTAGAATAATAATGTGTCGGAGTTGCGGTTAGTTGGAAAGTCGAGAGATCCATCAGGATCATGCCCCTCCATTTTCCCGAGACCGAGATTATTCCAGCCGAAATATTAGGGACGGTTTAAGGCCACGACGGTGTGTTGATATTACCCCACTAATTGAAGGTGAGGGTGATCGGGCTGCTGTGCTTGCGAGCCCAGTCACTCGGTCGTCTTACAGTCTTGCAGTGTGGCAGCAGTAAGCAAGACTGTAGCCACATTTAGCCTAATCGGTTCACAGTGCTCTTTGACCTTTTCTTTTCGT